AGGTAATTCATCGTCCCAACCAATTTTTAACTTCCACAATTCTTGTAATAAGAGTTTCGGAAGCAATGTAGCTGGCGTCAACAAACCAATGGGATCAAAAATAGTCTGTACAATGCCCAAAATTAATCTTTTTGTAATTTTCGTATCGCATGTTAATGCGTCAATATCCGTACAACATCTTAGAGTGTCATTGTCCAAATTCCAAATTATCCCCAAAACTGAAGTATCCCCTGAATGTTTATCAACATTTTTACCAGCCACATTACTTTCAAAACTACGCAAGTTAAAACATCCATTTGACATAATAAGTTTAGCATGTTCAATAAAACAATCTTGTTCATCTTTATGAAAAACACCAGAAATACAGTTATCTACATAGAATGCACTTTTCAGTTTTTGAGCTACATCACTATACTGAGGAGGAGAATTCTCCAAAAGATGCATTATAGAAGCATTTAGTAAAAAAGGGCTGGCAGAAATCCCAAACACAACCCTACAGTGTCTATAAATCTGTGGTCCGTCATTAGACGGGAAGAAAAACCTAAGAAAGTCTCTGTCCTTAGGTGCAATTGATAACATTAAAAATGCCTTTTCTATATCACCACTTATTCCTATTGGATACATTCTAAATCTATCAATAATATCAGGTATTAATTCAATGAGATTAATTCCCTTTAATAAACATTCATTTAAAGAAGGTTTTCCTTTCTCAGCAGCAGAAGCATCGAACACGGGACGAACTTTAGTAGTAAGACTCTCGAGTTTAATTACTGGTCTATGGTATAAATAGTGACATTCTTTTCTCAATTCAAAATCGGGCACGCGCTCGATAATGTTCAAATTTTCCCACTCCTCAAACACCTTCTGATAATCAGTAAAAAATTCCCCGCAACTCAATCTATTTATCATTCTTTCATGTCTCTTCCAAACTAATTCCTTATTAGTGGGTAAATTGGCCGAGTTATATTTCCAAGGTAATTCGACTTCATACCTCCCATCGGGGAGAATTTTCAAGTTTTTATTAAAATCATTTAAATCGAGTTCGGTTTCCTTCTTCTCAGTTTGGTTTGGATCAGATATTCCTAAAGTTTCAAGCTCCCATAATTTATTTACAGGTACTTTTATAGAATGCATTGACAAAGTCTTTAAAATATTCCTTTCCCCCGAGTTTCGTTTCCCAAAAACCGTCCATCCCAATTTAGTTTCGATAGCTGTCAAACCCGACTGTAATTCCACTGAATTTCCGGTTAATAATTTTCCTATAACATCTGATCCGATTAAAAGATCAATCTTTGATTCTTTTATGAAAGAATCTGAAAAATCTATTTCCTTTTCTTTTAATTCATTCAATATCTCTCTATCCTCGATTTTTGGAATAAAACCGCAAATCATTTCCTCCGAGAGAACTTCAAAACAACAAACAAAAGTTCGCCTCAAATTACTCACTTCAATTGAAAATACTTCATGTTGTTTTGGTTTCGTTTCATTCCCCCCGAACAGTGCATGAATCACTGTCTCCTTTCGAAGAGGCCACGCCTTAAGTAGACGTATAATATTTTCACTAACGTAACTGCTTTGGCTACCAGTGTCAATTGCGCATCGAATAATTTTCTCACGACCTTGACTTCGAATTAAAACGCAAAGAGTTTGCAAATAAACAGTTTCACTTTGGCTGCTATTAGAAAGAGAACTTTCTTTAGAAATACTTTTTTGGTCATTATTTTTTAATTTGGAACACATTATATCAAAATGATTATAATTACAATTAGAACATTTTAAATTATTTTTTTCATCACAAAATTTACTTATATGATTAGCCTTTTTCAAACATGAAAAACAAGCACCCTTTTTCAGTAATATTTGTTGCTTCTCGATTAATGACATTTTCTTCGCGGAAAAACATTTTTCACTGGGATGGGATTTATCACAGAAAATACAATTTCGCTTACCTGCATTACTAGCGATGCTGCTGTTAACTAGGGACGCCGCGGTAGCCGAATCGGCTAATCTTACCTGCTCTATTCGAGGGTTTTTATTACGGTGACTCGGGTGGGGATCAAAACCAGTTCTTGCTAGCAAGACCATCTCTTCGCCTTTCACTTCTTGCCGAAGGAAATTCATCAACTGTTCCAAAGAACGGTCACCTTTTTCAGTGGAGTCGTGGTTACGGCTCCTCTCCCACGCCACCAATACTTCTTCTGGTAGGCAACTTTCTACCAACGGCGTCAAAAAATCTCCATACTTTTCTTGTGTTCTTCCCAAGCTTTCTAAGGACCTCAATTTGCCTTCCAGTTCGTCATAGAGGGAGGGTAAATCAGTTTTTGCTCTTCCGGTTGCTGCGTTCTTCATAACTAAATTTAACAAATCACGTACATATATTTGTACCAGCAAATCCTCGCGTCCAAAACGCTCTTTCAGCTGTTCGATAGCCTTAGAATAATTAGCTGCCGTTGCAGGAAAACTAAGTATCAGACGTTCAGCTTTCGATTTCGGTTCCATAGATTGCAGCAAGTACTGCATTTTATCTTCGTCTGCAATATATTTATCATCATGAATTTTCTGGAACTGACTCCAAAATGTAAGGTAATCTTTAGCTTCACCTGAGAATTTTTTCAGTTCTATTTTTGGGAGTTTAAATTTTCTCGTTTCCTTGTCAGTCGGCAGCACAGAGAGTTGTTCTTCCGAGTTTATTTGAGCACATCGTTCTAAGAACGTGTCTCGGTAATTCTCAGACTCTTCAAAATCTTCATTATATGCATTTTCTGTTGTTTCATTCTGCAAAAGCTGCTCTGATATAGCATTTTGACAAACTTCAAGTCTTTGGAACTTATCATTAAGTTGAACCTTTAAAATCGATAGAGCCTTTAAATCTCTTACTTCTTTGTCTAATTCCGTTTCGATTTTCTTCACGGTGTGAGTGAAGGCAATTCGCAGTCCTTTTCGTTGTGTTTTCAAAGCATTTAATTCCATTTTCAATTCGAAATCCAAACTAGTTCAGATTCACAGTTTGAAAGTTCACAAATCAAATTTTCAGTAACGTAAGTTCAAAATTCATCAAAATCGAAATTCAAGATCAATCAGTTCAAAAAATCAATCAGGAAAAATCAGTTCAAAATTCAAATCAAATTTCTATCAAATCAAAATTCAAGATCATAAGAAAAATCAGTTCAACATTCTAATAAAATCGAAAGTCAAGATCATAACAAAAGTCAATTTTAATTCAGTCCTAATCTAATTTCATTTCGAAATCCATTCCAAAAAGCACCCGTGTCCCGCCGAGGGTACCATTTATGTTAGAAACCGAAGGAGAAATTCCAGATCGTTCATGGGCTGCATCTACCAGATGCTGGGTGCATTGGAAATAAAAGTGACACATAGGCCTTCTAAATACAAAACGAACATTTATTCAACAAAACAAACAGCTCCTTGGTCAGAGCTGCTTCTCCGACGGAATCATAACACTGAATGACAAAATCTGACGCCAAGCGCAGAGGCGCGCCTCGCCAACACTTTACTCACTGCACTTCATTTCACAACAACGATATTTTCCCTTTTTCTAATATTTTTCCTTTTTATTCAATAAAAATATTTTTCAAAATTTCCGTGATGCTTTTCTTTAGAACTATGTTTAATGTAGTTTTCAGTTCCATACAGTTTTCCAACTTAAAAGATTTTAATCTACATGAAAATCAGGAGAGAAATTAACGTACTTTCTTCCTCCATGACTCTCCACACGCTAATGGGGAAGGCATGCGAAGTGTTGTCATAGGTAGAGAATTCTACTCCACGCCACCTGTAACCCATTTCGATCACCAATATAAAAGCCATTCTCGCTAGATGCGATTTACAATCATCTGATCACTTTCGATTGATGAACTGCACTACTGGACCTTAAAATTGCTACACGCAGAAGGCGACTCAAAACGAACGGGAAATTTGCAGGACGAATAAGGTATGTTGTGATATGCAAATGATTACCTACAATGTGAATAAAAGAAGAGATAAAGAGTTTCTGTTATGCCTCGTGTAAGAAGGAGAAATGTCTTCCAGTAGTTGTCTGAGTTTGATCGAGGTCGAATTGTGGTCTACTGGGATTGGGGTTTATCATACCGAAGTATTGCTGCTCGCGTTGATCGAGATCCCGTGACTGTTAGCAGAATATTGAATCGATGGGTTCATGACGGTCGTATGGCACGACGTGCAGGATCTCAGCGGCCCTCCATCACTAACAGCCGAGAAGACAGACATGTTATCCACACGGCCTTAAGGGATAGTACGGTTACGTCACGAACTCTGAGTCGACAAATGGGATCATTTGCAAGACAACAAGTGTCTGCACGAACAGTTTGACGACGTTTGAAGCAGCATGGCGACCATGGCTTCGGCTACCCTTGACGCTGCATTACAGGCAGGAGTGCCTCCAATGGTGCGATCAACGATGAACCTTTACGCATGAATGGCATGACGTTGTCTTTTCAGACGAATTCAGGTTCTGTATATAGCATCATGATGGCCGCATCAGTGTTTTGCGACATCGTGGAGAACGCCCATCGGCAGCCTGTATTCGACATCGTCATACTGGCGCATCACCTGGAGTAATGGTATGGGGTGCCATGGGATGCACGTCTAGATCACCTCTTGTTCACATTTCCGTCACTTTGAACAGCAGCCTTTAAATTTCTGATGAGTTAGAGCTAGTTGCTCTGCCTTATCTTCGATAACGCTATGTTTCAGCAGGGCAATGCACAACCGCATGTAGCCCGCACTGTCCTGACCTTCCTGGCCAGCATGTTCTCCTCATCTACTGAAAACTTCTGGTCAATGGTAGACGAACGACTGGCATGCCACCTCTCGTCAGTCACTATGGTCGATGAATTGTGGCATAATGTTGAAGCTGCAAGGAATGCAGAGATGCCAATTGCTCCGGACACGCCAAAATAACTAAAATAACGGTAAATAACTACAAAGTAAATTTTGAAAATAAATGACTATTTTTGCTCTCCTTTTAAAAGGTAGCTTGACATAAGTACTATAAAGTGGTGAATTATATAAGTCTACGAATTACTTAGAAATAGTAGTGGATAAAAATCTACTAAATTGAATTTATTAAACCAAGAATCGCAATTAAGAAACTACCACTTGAAAATATATATTTTCTGCCCTGAGCAAGTTGGCATCTCTGGGAATGCTGTACCCGTCCATGCTATCCAATCTCTGTTCGACTGAGAAAATAACTGCTGTTATTACTGCCAGGGGAGGCTGCTCTGAACACTGGTACCTCAGGATCTATGCATCCGTATATCCTGAATATTTAATCACTTCTTCTTCCAACTAAAATCTATATGCCCAATAAATATCATTCTGTTATTTGTATTCCCTCCAGTTGTTGCAATTTTAAGGACCAGTAGTGTATTTTCTCTTAGAAAAATTTCATCAATTTAATATCCTTTTTCGTTAATCACTCTCACTGAATGCAGTTCACGCACTTCCGATCACGCAGTTAAAAATAGAGGACCTGATTGGTGACTGTTTCACAAGTAAATATTTTTTTTAATCATCAGGTTCTCCTTTTCTCTCGACGGTGACTCTCGTTTGCGTAGCACACATTCAGTGAGAATTGCCTTTGAATAGTACCATACAGAATCAGAGGCCTTTCTGACCTGATTGTCTCCATCTAATCAATCTATTCGATTTGAACACAATGAAAATGGCTTGTTTGAAGTGAATTTTGCAAGTACGTGCCGTTTTACCATACAAATAGATCAGAAATTCTCACTGAAAGCGATTTTTTTGACATGCGAAGAAATCATCATTAAATTTGGATGTAAGATTCGGATTGGGAAAAATATTTACCCGCAATAATTTTGCCTATCAAATTTCAGTTTGCATGCGATTTTCGGCACAATAAAAAAGCAGCCTTCTTAACTTTAGCAAGCGCGTCTAGAGCTATCGCATGCAGTGTGAATATTCTATAATTGCATAATTCTCCATTCGTTCTCTATTACTTGCACACTGTCCGTTTTTCAATTTGATAAGGCCTTATTCGCGATCGCAACACTCGAATACGCCATCTGGGGAGAGACCGGTTTCATGCCTTTAGCCCTTCTCCCTTCCCTCTCCTCCTCTTTTCAGTTGTATAGGAATGTACTACGCTATTTTCCCTTTTCTTAATTTTTTTCCTTTTTATTTAACAAAAATATTTTTTAAAATAACCATGATACTTTTCTTTAGAACTATGTTTAATATAGTTTTCAGTTCCATATAGTTTCTCAAGTTAAAAGATTTTAATCTATATGAAAATCAAGAGAGAAACTAACGTACTTCCTTCCTCTATGACTTTCCACACGCTAATGGGGAAAGCATGTGAAGTGTTGCCATAGGAAAAGAGTTCTGCTCTACGCCACCTGCAGACCATTTCGATCGCCAATAAGTTGTAGTATGCACAAATCTCGTAGATACGGGCAATAAAAAATTTAAAAAAGTATAAAATTTAGTGCTTGTACGTGAGCACACCGGAACCGATGCACTTGGGAGTCAATCATATATTGTATTGGAAATTGTTTCTTTATGAATCTTAGATTCCTATAAAAATCTAACTGCAGTCCTTTGAGATTTTAAGGATTTCTGATAATGTTAAAAATGGATATGTTAGATATTTTCGTATTCATTGATGTAGTATGGTGCAATGGTTTCTTTATGAATCTTAGATTCCTATAAAAAACTAACTGCAGTCCTTTGAGATTTTAAGGATTTCTGATAATGTTAAAAATGGATATGTTAGATATTTTCGGATTCATTGATGTAGTATGGTGCAATGGTTTCTTTATGAATCTTAGATTCCTATTAAAATCTAACTGCAGTCCTTTGAGATTTCAAGGATTTCTGATAATGTTAAAAATGGATATGTTAGATATTTTCGGATCCATTGATGTAGTATGGTGCAGAGTAATCAAATAAAAAATATCCCACTTCCAAATAAAATTTCTAATAACCTTTTAACTCTATTTGAAATATCGAACAAATTATATTCATTTAAATTGCTCGATGCTAATTTTAATGATTATTATAAATATAACAATATCTTAAATATTACTAATAAAATTAATAAAAGTAATAAATTGATAATAATAGGAGAGTTAATTATAATTATGCGAATATTCATAATTATATATTAAATTTAATGCATTTGTTTTAAATTTCTTTGTCATCTCCTGGAAAGATATACAAAATAAAATTAACTAGGGAAATTTTTTTTTAGAAATGTTAAAAGTTTTAAGTGTAGATTAGAAAGAAATATATGTAAAAATAAGAATTTAAACGGTTTTAAATTGACAGTTTCCGAACAACATTGATTAAAATTTACAGATATATTTTCAAAAATATTCTAAACTCGATAGAAATTTTTTTTTTTTTTTAAGTAATACAGAGCCTGCTCATTTTACGGTAATATTTGAGCTCTCTGTAATATTACTAGTGTTAATTTCGAATAGGAAGATTTTAAATTTAGATATAGATGACTTTTTCCTTTTTTTCTTTTTAAAAAAAAAGAAAAAAAAGAGAGTTCTAACTGTAAAAATTTGGGAATTTCGCACAACTTTATGAATTTCAATGAATTTCAATGAATCTAAGATAACTTTGAATGTTCAAACAACATCTTTTGATAAATAAATAAATAAGTAAACGAATTTTTTTGCTGGAATAATGACAAAAAAAGAAATTAATCTATCAATACTTTTAAAAATTTATTAAGACATTAACATTTTGGAAAGAATTTTAAAATAGTTACTTTTTTTTAACTACAACAATTTAACTTCGGATAATAAAAACTACCCAATTTGGAAATAAAATATACGAGGGTGTTTCGAAAAGCAAAGATACACCGAACGCCAGAGGAAAAGAAAAGTTTTGGCGAGCAAGTTGGCAACACAGGTATTAACCTTGAACCGTTAGCTTTCTCCTCGCGGTCGTTCGGCATTTCAACGTTGATTCTGATTGGAGTAGGTTGTGTTTAAAATGGTTGCGGCGATTCAGAAGCCCGCCAAATGCGAAGTGCGCTACGTAATACGTTTTCTTCATGCAAAAGGTGCATGCAAAAGACCAGCGGATATTCACAAAGAAATTGTTTCTGTTTATGGGAACGTTATGAATAGACAAATGGAGTCTGCTTGCTTCATGACAACGCTCGACCTCACACAGCGCTCGTAACCAAAGCACTAACTCAAACAATTCAAATGGCAAGTATTGGACCATCCGCCATACAGCCCGGACCTTGCGCCCAACGACTTTCATTTATTCCTTTACCTGAAGTCACATCTTCGTGGAAAATCATTCCACGACAATGATGAGATCAAAGATGAAGTTGAAATGTGGTTCCGACAACAGGCGGCAACCTTCTATGACTGTGGGATACAAAAGCTTGCGCACCGACTTAACAAATGTTTGGATAACGGGGGTGATTATGTCGAAAAATAATAAATAATCGAGTTAATAAGATGTAACTGACGTTTTCTAAATAAAAGTTTTTTTTTAAGGAATGCGATCCATTGTATCTTTACTTTTCGAAACGCCCTCGTATCTTGGACTAAACCAAATCATGGATCTAAATTATGATGGCTTTGTTACAGCAAATTTTATTCATTTTTTAATTTATTACTTTAATTGTTGTTTTCTGGTCAAAAGTTTTCAAACTGAAAAATTCAAAGTTTGGGGGATCCTTTAGATCTATGATTGTAGTGAGAAATCCAAGTTTAACTAAATAAGTTAAAGTATTCAATCCATATCTTGTTATTATTCTTATTTTTACTGTAATAAAAGTTATAATTCATGATGTTAAAAATAACATACCAAAAATTGCATACTAAAAAATAAAATAATAAAAAGTAATAGAATAAAGAATAATATACTAAAAAAATACGTTGAAAATTATATACTAAAATATATCTAGATTATAAGCTTTCATACAATAGTAAATTTACTTTTCTTGTAATTATATGGTAAACATAGTTTTTAACACATTGAACATTTCAAAGAATTAATAATTCAAAAATTATACCTTCGTTGTCATGTAATTAGCAACATTTTATATTCCCCGCAACTGATAAAAGAGAAAAAAGAAGAATACACGAAAAAAGTTCTTTACTTTTTTGTATTTTTTTTTTTAATTTTTTTTTATTTTTATTTTTTTTTTAGTAAACGTAGGTTAGAAGGTAATGAACATTGTACAAACGTCATGCATAGATAATGTTAGTAAAAAAGTTTTCAAAAATATATGTTTATGTTCATTATCAGATTACCACCCTAAATTCTAAGCTTAACTGAAAGAAAATTGAAATTTAAGATAGAGATAAAAAAAAAAATGCTCGTTGGTTGGCTTTTATTTGAAAACCACTTTATTTTCTTTTATATATCTATATAATATTTTAGTAAATGCAAGAAATGTAAAAAAAAAAACACAATTTTATTTTGACCATAGCTGAAAACATAAAGTTATAATGGATCTAAAAAGTAATACGCTGAAAAAATTGTTCGTTGATCGGTACCAAATTTATCTTTTTTGTAATTTCTGGCAAATGAAGGTTGAAAAGTAGTGAATATTTCAAATACTTTATGATTAGACGATATTACCCGAGGAGTATCTAAAAAATAAATGAATAATTTAAAAAAAAAATTATTATCTTATAATGAACAAAATTTTATTTTTACCGTGGCAGAAAAAAAATTATAATTGAATTGAAAATCAGTTCATTAAAAAATTGCTCATTGACCTGCATTTATTCGATAGCAAATTTACCTTTAATATAATTCTTGGTAAATGTAAACCGAAAGACAAACATTTCAAAAACTTCAACTTCATATTCAGATAATATTATTCGAGAAGTTTCTAAAGATATACATTCATTATCATGTTGGCATTGTGTACATTAATACCGAAATCGAAACGTTTATTTTTTATCATGCCTTTCTTAAGAAAGGAGTGAATTTTTTTCTTATTCTACTTATCAGTTGTTGAGTGCCGTTATATCAGCTAAGGAGAGACGGTTTTTATGTCCTACATGTCACTCTTCTATTGATTAATTTATCTCGTTGAAGAATTTAGCAAAACTATGGAATGAAAGTAAAATGGGATTGTGAACTGAAATCGGACACAACAACAAAATGTTAATGAATTTGTCTTTAGTGTTATGGATGATTACGACGCTAAGTAAGTTAAATATGTTGTTTTATTTTAATTTCACTCAACATTTTGTTATGTTTCTAATGATGACTACTTGATATACTACTACGAAATCATTAATAATGAATTTTTCTTATATAAACTTTGTAATAATGACTAACTAGTAAATGACTAGTGGGGGCTGTGTTATCGACTATACCAACCTTCATCTATCAAAGGGTACCTCCAGATTGATTCAAGTTAGCACGTCTTATATACTAGTGAATTGATGCTTAATTTTCGTAGTGGTAGTTACGCCACAATACTCCCCCACCATTATCAGGGATAGAATTCGATGAACGGATACCACTAGTTGCTGCACTTGTGAAAGATCGAGAGAGCTAGATTTAAGGTCACTGGGTTTTTGAGTGCTGAATGTGAGAGGTGTATTAACTTCACGGTCGTAGTCACTCCTGTGTTGCCCTTAGCAGTCGAGCGTATGCAGGCTGACGTCGTGTATGATCGAGACGAGACTGAGCAGCAGCAGCGTGAGGAGGTGAATAATGTCGCAGTCACAAGTAGCAGCAAGTCAACTGTTCAATGTGGACTATCAATCGAAGTGAGCATTACTGCGTGTTCAAATCACGTCCGGGTCACCAACGTAGGGGCAGTGTTATCGACTATGCCAACCTTCATCTATCAAAAGGTACCTCCAGATTGATTCAGTCACGAGGTACCTTTTGATAGTTGAAGGTTGGCATAGTCGATAACACCGCCCCCACAGACTAATGATTTAAAAAAAAAGCCTAATAAATGCCCCACACCAACACGGTGATTTAACTTTTAAAGGTGATTTAACTTTTAAACCGATTTCAAATTGTTGTCTACAAAGTCTTTCACTCAGGTGCGCTTTTATCAATTAATTGACTCTATAGTGTCTATAGATTAAGGATAATGCTAGGTCTGGCAAATAATATTCAGAAACGAAACAAACGTGACTTATTCATAAAACCCATTTATTAGGCCAAGGATGAAAAACAAAAGAGATGTTATATGTCTGATACCATTCATAAAAACTACTATTTTTGTGCACCCTGGAAAAATTATAAAAAATAGAATTTATCTCCTTTACAAAAAATAAATATTAATACTACATGGTTGGTATGCTGTTTAATACATTATGTGTCTCCCATGCAATGAAATACAGTCCGTGCAACACCTAGGCATGCCGGGTATTCGTGATCTTGAGGATATGAATTATCGAGATGATCTTGAGGAAAATTTATCTACTCTGCAAGCAATGCTCTCCGAAGTTCCGGTACAAACGTAGGAGGTGGTTGACGGGCTGCTTCTCGTTGACCAAGTATGTCCCGCGCATGCTCTATCGGATTCAAGTCAGATACGATACGGGTGATATTCTCAGATTTACGGTATTAGTTTAGGATGTTTGCTCAGTGAGGACTGGCGTTGTCTTCGGAAAACGTGAATTTTATATCCATGGCACCCCTAAACAAACATAAACATCCTGTGCTGGTTCCGATTTGAACAAGTAGATCTTTTCTGGAGACAAGTATAACTTAACAATGATGTACTAACGGGTAATTTTCGTTCTCCATATGAAAGTTCGACTTGAATCAGACTGCAAGCTGAGCATGGACTCGTCGGAAAACATCACTGTGACTATGGCCACATTGCATATTCTCTGATTCAGGCTAATTGCTGGAAACAATTAGTTGCCGTGAGTGGAGCACATCGGACAAGCCTGCGAGCACATAGATCTATATTTCCCAAACGTCTATTTACAGTTTGCTTTAAAACTGTGGTACCCATGGTTGCAGATAGCTGACGAATCAGGTAGGATTATTCGCTCCGTCTGCTTCTTTTGGTAGTTACTGCTATATACCGGTCTTCGTTCAGGGTTGTAACTCGGATATAACCTAACTCCATCCCAATAATGTAACGTCTACTGACATTACCATCATCTTCGAATCGTTGCCAAAGCCTTGAGATGACACTATGGGTACTTCCAAGTTTCTAGGATATTTCCACCTGAGTACTCCCACACATTTCAGTAGATAGATAATTCTACCAAGTAAAAAAGTTATCCACACACATCCTTCCTATTATAACTATTCGGTTGTGGCACTGAACCGTTTACAGAACGCTAGTGAGAACAATTTTATTTCTTCGCCACCATTCCTTACATGCCTTGCTTTCTTTCTTTTTACATACCTTTGAAATTTTTGTTGTTGTTGCCATTATGATTTATCACTTTATTCTATCAATTTATTTACTTTAGTTATTCACCATAGAATAACTGAACTTTAAAAAATGCTATAAAAATAAACAGTAATTTATTTCATTTGTTAATTTTTGTTTTGAAAAAATTTATATGTAGTAATGAGAGTTCCATTCGATGAGGCTCGATTTTAGAAATACTATTTACTAGGAAGCATCGCCCCCTGCTCGCTGGCGCTCGCCAACCCCCGAAACTGCTTTCGCAGTTCATTTCGGATTGGTTCGCAATCCGATACTCGCTTTGCTCGCTCATTGGATACGTTCTTAACGTCTAGCTTTTGTATACTTTTTTGAACACTGAAGTTCCGAAAACTTTTCACTGTAGAAAATTCTAAACCTGTGCATTTCAATATTAATTTGAAATTGCAAACAGTTCACATATTTTTCTTAATCACACTATTCTAAATTTCAGTTGTTGAGAAAAGTAACTGTTGTAAGTTTTGTTTTAAAGTCTTTCCCACCAGAGGGCTAAAACCATGTGTTGTAAAACAATATGAAATAGTACTGAACGCCGGATGTAAAGCATCGGCTTCGATGAAGATAATTTTGTGAGAATTTTTTTGATAATTCGGTGAGAATTCACCCGATTAGACATATGATGCTCACTACGTGCTCTTGCGCGCCGAAGCCTATCAATTAAAACGTATTAGCTTTTTATATAATATAGATTGGCCATATGATGTTCACTACGTGCTCTTGCGCGCCGAATCCTATCAATTAAAAATGAAATCTGTTGCCAACGCGAGAAAAGAAATATCATCGGTTTTATTGATAAATACGTAGTAGCGTTTTATATAATATAGATGATGCAAATCTTAGGAATCAAAGAAGAGTAGTGCACTGCTGTCTTTTTAGCTTTAACTCCACTCAAAAATGTTACTCATTTATCAATTGTGTTGTTTCATAAAAAACTGCAATATTTGTTCTAATATTGTGCAGAACTTTTGACATTAAATGAGGTAAAAAATGAATTTTCTTAAAAATTAAAATTTCCCACACTTGGTTAGAAACCAGGTAATTTTCATACTAAGTTTGGCATTGTAGTGGTATTGACATTGATACAATTTTCCCAAAATCAGCGTTAAAGAATAATACATTTACTAGTTTTGTAATTAAATAGATTAGTTCTTAATCCATCTTTAAGAATACAAAAATTAGCATAGTAAAGGAAAAAAAGAATTTTGTTTGGAGTTGATATTTTCCGCTCTTGTTTGAGTATGATTTGAGTAAATTCCGTCTTAAGTTTGATAAAGGGACATCATTGCTTTATTAGGAAAACTTTGCTCTTAATTGCACTAGTATAATTATGATAAACATTGGCCCAAAGTTGCTGGCATTTCCCAGCATTATTGTCCCATATTCCTACCTATGTATTGAAAGATTTTACCAAACTTTCTGCCATAAATGGGTATAAAAATGAATTTATTTGAGATTAACATTTTCCAGTTTTATTAAGGCATCATATGTTTGGATTTTACTCTAAGTTTGACGAAGAGACATTGCTGATGATACTTTTTTTTCTATATAATTGCACTAGTAAAATTATCATAAACATTGGTCCAAAGTTGCTACCAGCCCAAACTCCGCCCTAAAGAGGAACTCATTTACCAGTTGCATAGTCACATATTCTGACCTATATATTGTAAGAAATTATCAAACTTTCGGTAATAAATGGGGATAAAAATGAATTAAGTCGAAATTAACATTTTCCGTTTTTGTTGAGGCATCATGCGTTTGGATTTTATTCTAACAAGGGAAACTAGGGAAGTGTGACTCTCCAATTTTGAAATAAACTAGTGGGATGTATGCCTTATGAGGAATAATTTTAGGGGGCAACATTCGTTTCGGCCCATAGAAGGTCCTGTGAGAGATAAAAAATATTTCAACATATAGAAAAATCGATATTTTATTACTTCAATGCAGACTATTAGTTATTGTAATTGTCTCATAATCCAATTAATTTGTAATTAATTGGATAATTAATTAATTTGATACTTAATAAATTAATCAGAAAAGTAATTATTAGTTAATTGGTAATTAATTATTATTTTTTATTAATTAATTGGTAATTAATTATTAATTAATTAATTGATTTGCAATTACATACTCAAATTAATTTGGAAAGTTTTTTGGAAAAAAAATTTTTTTTTAATCTGTTGTCAATTTTTTTTAAAATTAACCTAACGGGTTTTTCTGAAAAACTACAGATATATAAAATTTTCGAAATCAATTTTGACAATAAATATGCATTATATAGTACGTGAATATACCACAAAACTAATTGGAGTATGAGACAATTACAATAACTAATAGTCTGCATTGAAATAATAAAATACCGATTTTTCTATATATTGAATTATTTTTTATCTCTCATAGGACGAATGTTTATCTCTCATAGGACGATAGTTTATCGGCCGAAACGAATGTTGCCCCCTAAAATTATTCCTCATAAGGCATACATCCCACTAGTTTATTTCAAAATTAGCGAGTCTCACTTCCCTAGTTTCCCTTGTAAGTTTGGTGAAGGGACATTGCGGATGATTAGAAAACTTTGTTTTTGTATAACACTATGATTATATTAGTTCAAAATTGCTTCCAACACAAACCTATTCCTAAAGTGCATCTAACACCTTTACCACTCGAATTGTTCCATATTCTCAACTATGTATAGTAATATTGTATCGAACTTCCTGCAATAAATGAATATTAAAATGAATTTACCTGACAATAACATCTTCACTGTTCTTGAGGCATCACTCGTTTAAATTTCACACTAAGTTTAGTGAAGGGACAGTGATGATAAGNCTTTTTAAATGCCTTTTTGCCTGCCTATTTTTGCATTTTTTATTGCCTGAAATTCCGGGCTTTAATGATAAGTATGAAAACTAAAATCAGTTCTCAAGGATGAACTTTTACCGGTTTCGTTCTTTCATATACACAGAAGAGCCATTACATTATGACCACCCTGCTAATAGTATGTATGACCACCTTTAGCCCTCAAAACTGCTAGCACCNTAAATTTTGAAGTACAGAAATGGTTGACTGTCATCCGACGTATTGTAATGCATTTATAGAGATTAGGACTTATTCCTTTGGTCTTATTAATATTTCCTCTCCGTCTCTTCGTGGCGTCATCTTTGCCGTGGCATCAGAAAACGTGGCTTCACCTTCGCCCGATGCGCTTTGCAAGGAGAGAGAGAAAGGGAGTGAAAAGATTGGACTTATTTTTACTTACAGTCAATAGGAGTTATTTTTACTTACAACCAATAGAATTTATTCTTACTTACGGCCCATATAGCCTACACCATCGAATAACTCGTATGCTCTCTTATCTACAAGACGAATTCACCAAGCTGGTTGAGCACATTGTAGCAGGAGCACGAAAAAGTTTTCTAGTACTAGTTATTTCAAAAATGCCTAAAGTAAAAGCCTGCACAAGCAAAAAACTGGACAGTTTTGTGAAAGAGTTTGGGTCGAATGTGTTTTCTACTGATGGGAGCATTCTATTTTGTAAGACATGCTAGAAGTAAGTAAATTTTTAGAAGAAGTACTTTATATCTCAGCATTTGTATACATCTAAGCATAAAACAGCAAAAGATAAAAAAGCTGAGAAAACACCGACTCTGATTCCCACCTGTTTTCAATTATCTTCTCGCAAATCGGGATTTGGGATGTATTTATGCAGATCATTTGTAGATGCCGGCATTCCGCTGTGGAAGCTTGAAAATAAAAGCATACGAGCTTTTTTGCAAAAATATACGAATCAAAGTGTGCCCTGTGAATCAACTTTAAGGAAAACTTATTTAGATGACTGTTACACCGAAGTTCTTAAAACTATTCAAAATGAAATCGGAACGAAAAACATATGGCTATCTATAGATGAAACGACAGATGTAACTGGACGATATGTTGCGAATGTTATTGTTGGTGTTATGGACCCATTTGAAAAACATAAAATCTTTTTGTTGACATCTGAACAGTTGCAAAAGACTAACAGTACTACAATTGCGCAGTTGTTCACTAATGCACTGGCTTTACTTTGGCCAAATGGTACTGAGCATGAAAGAGTGCTATTATTTCTTACAGATGCAGCCTCCTACATGAAAAAAGCTGGAAATGCCTTAAAAGTTTTATTTCCTAATATGATCCATCTAACGTGCCTTGCTCATGCATTGTACAGGATAGCAGAGGAAGTAAGAGGTCTCTATCCTGAGGTAGACTCGCTTGTTTCTAGTGTGAAAAAGGTATTTGTGAAAGCCCCTTCAAGAGTTAAAGTGTTCAAAGAAATTGCACTAGACATTCAATTACCTCCTAAACCGATCCTTACGAGATGGGGAACATGGATTTCAGCAGTCTCATACTACTGCACAAATTTTGTGGAAGTTACTCGAGTCCTTACCAGCTTTTCGGATGAAGAGGCAATATCCATAAGAAAAAGACAAAATCTGCTTAGCAGTTCTAAAATAAAAAATGAACTGACTTTTATTTCAACTTATTTTGGGAAGCTCCCTGAAGCTACTGAACAAATGGAAAAAAGAAATATGTCTTTGTCCGAGTCACTAAAAATTTTGGACAATACTATTGAAGAACTAATGTCTGTGCCTGGACCAGCTGGTGACAGAATAAATAAGAAATGTGAAAACGTCATCTCTGCAAATACAGACTTTGAATGCATCAAGGACATTGCAAAAGTACTTTCTGGGGATACTAGATACTACAGTTGAACTTATCATATCTCCTACCATGGCAAGTTGCTTTAGGTACGCACCCATAACCTCTGTCGAAGTAGAAAGATCCTTCTCTTTGTTTAACACTATATTGAATGACAGGAGACAAAATTTCTCTTTTGAAAATTTGAAAAAAGCATCTAGTTGTGATGTGCAACAACAACCAATCATCAGAATAAATCTGCATACAATATTATTGTACGAGTTTTCAATTTTTATTTCACACCTACGCAGTTGAGGGCTTTTTTGTGCCATTATGTCCACTTCTTTTGTACTATTGCTACGACAGTCGAGTGAAATGAATATGTAGGTATACCGGATACTTCTAGCAACTTTTTTTATACCTTGGATACCTATATGGGCTTTTAGGCATTACCAACTACCATTTTGCTCCAATTTTAAGTGCCTTTTTTAAGTGCCTATTTCAAGCTTTTTAAATGCCTTTTTGCCTGCCTATTTTTGCATTTTTTATTGCCTGAAATTCCGGGCTTTAATGATAAGTATGAAAACTAAAATCAGTTCTCAAGGATGAACTTTTACCGGTTTCGTTCTTTCATATACACAGAAGAGCCATTACATTATGACCACCCTGCTAATAGTATGTATGACCACCTTTAGCCCTTAAAACTGCTAGCACCCGCCGTGGCATTAATTCCACAAGGTGCTGATAGGTAGTCTGAGGTATCTGGTACCAAGCGCTCACCAACTGGTCCTGCAATACCCTCACATTGCGAGGGGGTAGCGTGGCAGCACGAATTTGGTTTTCCAAGTAGGACCACAAATGCTCTATTGGATTAAGGTCAGGTGAGTTTGGGGGCCAAAACATGACTTGAAAGTCACAGAAATGTTTCTCGACGATTCGACCCTTATGACATGGTGCATTATGCTGTTGGTAAACACCATCCCCCGCAGGAAAAACTGTTGCCATGAATGGGTGAACCTGGTCTATAACTATGTTCAAGTAGCTTACAGACGTCAGGGATTGTTTTATGAGGATTATGGGTCCTAATGTGCCTCATGAAAACATTGTTCCTGGGCGAGAAACCATGAAAACCTGGGCGAGCCCATTGTTATAGATGGAGGGTGGTCATAATGTAATGGCTCTTCGGTGTATAATAGACTACTAATCAAATTTTTATCTTGTGTTTAACAGAGCAAATATTCAGCATTAGTTATATTGCGAAAATTAAATAAAAAAGAATAAAAAAATCTTTATATTTTTCTCTTACTGTCTCCATCCCTTCCACAATTGAGTTCGGTCGGGAGAGGAAAGGGCCTCTTAATGGATTCAATAGTAAATTTACTAACAAATACTGTCTATTCAAAAAGTATTCGCATATTAATTGAATGAATAAAAAACTTTTCACCTTTTTTTTTTAGATTATGCTTATGGGTACTTCCGATTATCAATGGATAATTACCAATACTTTTCCGATGGATCTCAAACAGATACAGTTGTTGAAAATTCAACAAGAAAAGTAGGAAAGAATGCAAGCAGACTGTTTCAAGAAGTAAACATGACTTTCGACCTGTCCACAAATGGAATAAAAAATGATACAGAAAACGCATCGTCTAGTAGCGATTTCTCAGTTAGTACCACCACTTCAGACAATAATAGCACTACTGTAATTTTCTATACTAGTACTGTAGATTATAATCATAGCAGTACAGAAAATTCTACCATATTTTTTACGACGACGTTGATCTACGAGTCTTCTTCCATTCATTCTCCATCAAGGTCATCGAAACTCTCACCCATGGCTGCCGCTGGAATTGCTTTATTAAGTGGTCTAATTGTTACTTCGATAATTATAATAGCTTTCATAATTTGGCACAAGAGATCTAAAGGACCCTATGAGTTAATGCCAGTAGCTGACTTTGAGGAACATGTTTAACTTTTTTTAAAAATTATAAATAGTGTATATTACATTGGGGTACATTTTTTTGTTCGTTTTCTATTGCATAAGATTTTTTAACGGATCTTAGATTTTCACGTCACTGATTTCAAATCTGTAATCTGTTTCTCTCTCTGAGCTACAGTTTCTTTTTAATGACATTTTTAGTCTATTTTTTGTCGAAATGTAAACGAAGTTTAAAAACGTTATGTTTAATAGGGGGTCGCGTAAATGTTGCGACACACTTCTACGGAAGTTAGGGTACATCATAAAGATTAAAATTCCATAGTAACCCATACCCAGAAATGTCATCATATGCCGCTAGATGTGCTTCCCCTATTATGTACTGTTTTTTTACGTGTGCTTCTTGGAAGCACTTCGAGCAGAGTACGAGGGAATTTACGGGAATGGAATTTTAATCCTGATGATGTACCCTGAATCCCTTCGAAGTTGGCCACAACATTCATGCAACGCCTTGTAATATATAACGCTTCTGTACTTGTATTTTTCGACTAAAAATAGGCTGAAAAATATCATTAAAAAAAACAATCTTTAGCTTTAGGACTAAAACTAAGTTCTTCAGACTTGATATCTTCATACACGAATTAGATAAAGTCTAGTTGTTATATGAATGCAACAAAAAGTTTGTTCCCCAAAGTTATCTGTAATGTTTCGTTTAGAATGAAAATTTCTGGCAAAATTTTCAGAGTTTTCTAAATGAAGAATTTTGCAATTTTATTAATTTATTCTTTTACATTAGAGATAAGAGGTTCAAGAGCTTGAGGGTCATGGACAATAATAAAATTTCATATAGACTCTAGGAGAGATTTTCTGAGCTTTCAGCATTTAGACTTACTTTAAGTTGTCATTGGACACAATCTTTGAATTAAAAGGCTTGGGACAAGTTTTGCAGATTGTGTTTTTGGATAGGTAACTTCAAACTTCCGGAATGTCCACTAGACGGCAGCACATTACATAGAAATATTTTAATGCTTTCATGTTTATCAGGGTGTTCCTCACCAAAAGCACTCCACTGAAGAATTTGAAATGTGGCTTATCATTATATTTTCAACAAAAACCTTATAATTTGCAAAATATTATAGATACAAATATGATCAGAACAATTGTATTAGAATATTTAAATATTTAATAACTTTCTAAAACTTTTCTCTTTTATGTATTTTCTTTAAAAGCAAAAAATGAGAAAATAGTAATTCGTCAAATAGTTCCGTCAAGTATGAATGATACATTTTTTATAACTACAATCCCTTCTTTTTTATACCTACAATCGCAAAATTAAGAAAAATTTCTGAAATTACATTTTAAGCAATTGTTTTGATTCCCATCATAAAAGGTAAAACTATTCTTTCGGTTGCAAAATATCGAAAATTATTTTTTATTTCCAAGGAAGGACTTCAGCACATAATTGCGCAAATTTTTGAAAATGTGTGATCATAATTTATGTGTTTGTGATGTGATGAATGTGAGAATCTGGCAAAGTGAGAAATGTTGGCGTGTGTACTATGCTTGACATTTTAACGAAACTATGAAACGCAAGAATAATTATATAATTTACTTAATCATAGTATATAATGAAAAATGTCTTCTAGGAAAGTCGGATAGTATGATTTGGCAAATGTAAATTGCGTGGAACGAAAGAACATATTTCTTCCTTGCTTTCTTTTTTCTAAAAAAATATTACTGGATTGACGATCTAAAAGTGAAATAAAATAGAATTTTCTTAGTTAAATTTATAACTTATTTTTTTCTTAGAAGATACCGGATAATGACCTGTTAACTTGAATTGATACTATAATATGGAATACCCGTCAGTGACCAATACAATGAAGCTGGATTATTATACTGGTTAGTTTTAATAATACATACATGGTGGTTACTGAAAATTTATGCTTCTCTTATTAAGAAAAACAAAATAAAATGTAAATTTACTTGTTGCAGAAAAATTCTATTGCTGATAAATCATAATTATACAAATACATTTTATACCTAGCCGATTTGTCATGTAGCATTGTATTCAATATTTAGACATTATTAGGCAGTAACGTAACAGAAAATTTTGTTTCTAGCCTGTGGCCATAGTTTTGGTGGACAGGGTAATTTGTCAGTGACATTTTTTTAAAACATGTGGCCAATGTTTAACAGATCGAAATTTTTAAAAGATTAAAAAACTTTTGATATTAATGATGTAGATATTATTATCAAATATCTGAAAATATGGTAAACATTTTAAGGTCATTTCTAAAATTAAGACAGAAACAATGATTTGATTTTGCTCTATACTAACAATATGAGAAATAGTATATAATTATTTGCAATTTCACAGTTTAATTTTAGGTATTGTATATTGTGCCGGAATTCCAACTTCGCCGGTAACATGTATACCATAATACCGGATTGATATTTGTAGAATTCTTCTACACATAATGGCTAACGATTATTACTGTATTTTTTGGATTAATAAATCGAAGTTTTATTCAGTGTTACATTGTTTAGTTGTATGTGTGGTTTGTGCACTTTTTTTTCCACTAACTTGCATGCTATTCGAACATTCTTATGAAAAAGAATACAAAATTGTGGAAATGCGTTACGTAATCAATTGCAAAACTATGTTTTTCAAGTTCAGCATTGCTGTGAAAAAATTTAAGAGTTGTAACTCTGTTCCAAATATCGAAAATTTAATTCATGTAGTCCCACGAAAATTCCCCTTTAACAAAAATTATATTTTTACAATACTATTATTGTATGAATTATTAATGACGACATAACTATTTCGTGAAGCACGCGTTAACCTCAATCTTTACGCAAACTTATAAAACTATTTTTAACTTTTAAGATATTTGGAATATTGCGAAAAAAATTTTCCATTTTTTAAAAAAATCTGTATCTGAAAGTTTGAGAAATATTTTAATTTCATTCCCCAAAATTAAAAATAATAAAAAAAAAATTAAAAATACTGTAATTAGATGAACTGTAATTATACATTAAACAAGTGCAGGACGAGTTAGTATAAAAGAGCAATCTTATAAAAATTAAAAACTATAATAATAAATAAGCAAATCGAAAAAGTAAATTGAATGATAAGAAACGTTTGCAAAAGATACCACGCTCAATCCAAAGTAGATAGTAAGTTTAGAACTCGAAGCATAGATGGCAGCAGTAGGATTGCTTAACATCCTCGATGGCCAAGCTTTAAACTTTTAATTTGATGGTTCAAATTTCAGGGGGGGGGGGGAACTTGGTTATTATATTATTAAATTGTTAAGATGAGCATGAATCACATGTGAAATTTTTATCATTGTCTAAACAAACAATTGAAATAATTATCATGTGACGTTATAAACTTTTTTCCATATATAAACATCCTTCCATTTGAAATGCATTTTCTGTTATTAAATAAAAATTTCTTTTTCGCGTTGAATAATGAAAGTAAGATGACATTTTATATTGTAATCACTTCGCAAAAAAATTTCCCTTGTTTTTTGTCAAATATTTAAAGATTTAAATTTGGGGATAGAAAATCTTAACTTTTGATCATCTTATTGGAGCAAACGTTATTGTTAACTCTTGTCACTCCATGCTTTCTCTTACAGTGTTGACCGATAGTTTCTTTTCATTTTTTACAGTGTTATTTTTTCAAAGATTTATCCTCTGTTAAATCAATAATTTAGAAAAAAAATGGTGATTTTGTGATTGTTCGATTTTATTTATGAACAGAAGCGTAACTACGGCAACCGTTTATGCTCAATGATTTTTATTTTCTTAAAACAGTTTCTTTAAACGGTTTTAAATTGACAGTTTCCGAACAACATTGATTAAAATTTACAGATATATTTTCAAAAATATTCTAAACTCGCTGGATTTTTTTTTTTTTTAAGTAATACAGAGCCCGCTCATTTTACGGTAATATTTGAGCTCTCTGTAATATTACTGGTGTTAATTTCGAATAGGAAGATTTTAAATTTAGATATCGATTACTTTTTCCCTTTTTTCCTTTTAAAAAAAAGAAGAAGAAAAAGAGAGTTCTAACTGTAAAAATTTGGGAATTTCGCACAACTTTATGAATTTCAATGAATCTAAGATAACTTTGAAAGTTCAAACAACATCTTTTGATAAATAAATAAATAAGTAAAAGAATTTTTTGGCTGGAATTTATCAAGAATGACAAAAAAAGAAATTAATCTATCAATACTTTTAAAAATTCATAAAGACATTAACATTTTGGAAAGAATTTTAAAATAGTTACTTTTTTTTTAACTGCGACAATTTGACTTCGGATAATAAAAACTATCCAATTTGGAAATAAAATATATCTTGGACTAAACCAAACCATGGATCTAAATTATGATGGCTTTGTTACAGCAAATTTTATACATTTTTTAATTTATTACTTTGGATGTTGTTTTCTGGTCAAAAGTTTTCAAACTGAAAAATTCAAAGTTTGGGGGATCCTTTAGATCTATGACTGCAGTGAGAAGTCCAAGTTTAACTAAATAAGTTAAAGTATTCAATCCATATCTCGTCATTGTTTTTATTTTTACTGTAATAAAAGTTATAATTCATGATGTTAAAAATAACGTACTAAAAATTGCATACTAAAAAATAAGAAAATAAAAAGTAATAGAATAAAGAATAATATACTAAAAAAATACGTTGAAAGTTATATACTAAAATATATCTAGATTATAAGCTTTCATACAATAACAAATTTAATTTTCTTGTAATTATATGGTAAATATAGTTTTTAATACATTGAACCTTTCAAAGAATTAATGTTTCAAAAATTATACCTTCGTTGTCATGTAATTAGCAACATTTTATATTCCCCGTAACTGATAAAAGAGAAAAAAAAAATATGCGATAAAAGTTCTTTATTTTTTTTTTATTTATTTTTTTTGGTAAACGTAGGTTAGAAGGTAATGAACATTGCACAAACGTCATGCATAGATAGTGTTAGTGAAAAAGTTTCCAAAAATATATGTTTATGTTCATTATCAGATTACCACCTTAAATTCTAAACTTAACTGAAAGAAAATTAAAATTTAAGATAGAGACCAAAAAAAAAAAAGAAAAACACTAAAAAATTTGTTATTAGTTTACTTTGACAACTTTACTTTTTTTTGTTCATGATTTTTTTAGTAGATAAAGGACTCGTTACTAAGACAATTTTATCCAAGAAATTTCAAATAAAAAAAAATTTGTCATCAAATTTCGAAATTTTTATCGAAACATTTATCGTTATCAAATTTTTTCATGAACATAATTTTATTTTTACTGTAGCTGAAAGCAAAAAATTATAATGAAACTAAAAACAGTACGCTAAAAATTTTGCAAACTTCCTGTATGACTTCCTGCAATTATGCTTCTGAAGAAGTTTTCAAAAATATATCTTCATTATCAGATAAACAGCATAATTTCATTTTTATCTTAACTAAAAGAAAATTAGAAAAATAAAATACAGTTTAAAAAAATGTCGAAAAAAATGCTCGTTGATTTGATTTTGTTCGGTAACAACATTATTTTTTTATCATGATTCTTTAATAAATATAGGTTTAAAGATGATGAACATTTCAAAGAGTTTTTACTCAGACAATGTTACCTAAGAAAGTACAGAAAAAAATTAGTATAAAAAAACATAGTAAAATTAGTATTAATAATTAGTAAATTAGAATTAGTAATGAAATGAGCAAAATTTCATTTTTACAGTAGCTGAAAAGGAAAATCATAACCGAACTAACCACTTTGTTTTCCTTATTATTTACTTTATTATTGAAAACCACTTTATTTTCTTTATATATACACTGGTTATCATAAATTAAGGAAAATTCACAAAAATCGCGATAACTCAAGAAATTACACATGGAATTTTATGAAACTTACCCACAATATACAACACATAGTAAGGTATTAAACAACATAAAAAGAAATTATCAGACNAAAGACTTCCCATCATAGACACCCGGAAGAAATCACCTAACGCCGTTCTGAAGGATTCCTCATCCCTTCCTAAAAAATCTGTTTCTTATCGCTACTGGAATGCTGATGCCTGGAGTCAGACCGTTCGCTTTTGTCTGAGCCCTCATAAAGTTTTGTGCCTGTTAGTGCCCAAGAAACAATGGAAGTGTGCGATTTATGCGGATTAGTGTTTTAGAAAAGTCCTAATCAAGATGTTGTGGAAAAAAATAAAAAAAGAAGAAAAGAAAAATGTGCGCGATTTATATTTATTAGACGAGCTTCTGCTCCTTTAGAGAAAATTCTTCCAAAGGAAAAGATTTATTTTCTCCTTCGAAGTGCTTTTTTTAAGTAACAAAAATGAATCCCGTGAACATCTGCATATTTTTTTTTCCTCGATAATGAATAATTTTTACTTCATATTTTAGTAATCTAATTTTTATTTTTTATTTTATTACGAATCTTTGGAAGAGTGAAATATGAAGTGCATTTTTGTGTTTATATTGTTTTTTTTATGATNTTTTTTATGATATAGTGCATTTATACTGCTTTTAAAATGTTTTTAAAAGAAATAGATGTGGTTCAAACGTCAATTAAAGTAACGAAGGCAAACAAAATTAAGTTATTATTTAAACTTTTGTTTCCAAATGATTTGTCTAGATTAAACCGTAACAAAATTCTTAATTTTTCAGAATTTTCTTTTGAAACTAACGATAATGAATTTGCAAACAAACTGAAAGAAATTTGTGATACTTTAAATTTTTCGGATTTAATCAAAATTTCAGATATTTTAAATATTTCCAGTGAGGGAAATAAAAATGAAATCGCAAAACATATTTTAAATTGTTTATGTGATTTTAATTACTTAAAAAATTCGATCGTAAATGAAAATCCCTCCGAAGATGAGGAGGAAACTACTCAGTTTGAGAGTAAACACACTTAAACTGATTTTGAACCACATTTACAGACTAAAACTTATGTAAGTAAATTTACACAAGTTAATTTAAATTCTATA